CCCAACGGGGGCGTGCACACAAACAAACAATATTCTGAGGTTGGAGCGGGCGAACCTGACAAATAGTTCTCTGGGACCTGCAGCTATGGTGAGGAAGTCATTCGGGTGAAAACAGGAGTGAGCACCTCTACCCCGCAGGAATGGCACTTGCCTGGAGAACCAAAGCTCACACCCAAAGTTGCCCTTCGAGTCTCTCGACGAGCAGAAGCGGACATGCGTGTCCGAAGCATAGATCACCTCGCTGGGTGACCGTGCCTCCTGAAGGGCAGCTATGTGTACGCCCATGGCTTCAAACTGTTCTCGTAGATAACGGGCTCTGCCAACGAAGCTACCCGGTTCATTGGCTTGGGAGGGAACAGTCTCTGCGTGGGGCTCCGCAAGAGTCTGGACGTTGACAGACATGAGGCGAAGGGACGCCCATCGGTCTGGCTCTGGGCCAATAGGGGAGCTGCTGGGCCCCAGGCCAAAGACAGTCTGACACTCTTGCGGTGAAAAAGGGGTGCAGTCAGTGCAGCGGTCGAGATCAACTAGACATGCGCCGAGCTGCTGTGGCCACGCATCCGGCTGCCTTAGGGCTTCAAACTGGACCCACAACCATTCGAGGGCTCCATCACGTATGCAGTGTGCCGCCCAGACCTGATGGGCAGAATGCTCTGCTGGAAAGTCACCATTATAATGCTTGGCAAGGCAGTCCGAGAGCTCATTTTCAGGGATTCCCTGATGAGAACGCACATGCTCAATTCTTTGGTCGAACGAGGGCTTCCCAGAGGCAAGGGCGTGGAGGGCGGCTCGGCAGATGGGGGCAAGGAGATCATCTACAGCCCAACCAAACGCCCCAGTGGATTGATTCAAGGCCACAAGGCAATCAGACAGAATGCGCAAAGACTTGCTGTTCGGAGACTGCAGAGCCCATATTGCAGCCCATATCAAGGCGTGCTGTTCGCCGCGCAGTGCGCTGGGCCTGACCTCAGCGAGAAATAGAGGATGGCAGGAGTCCGTGTGTACATTGCCTGCGGCCCATCCAAGAAATACATGCTCCTGATCGACGGTGCCGAAAACACAGAAAGCCCACGAGCAACTATTCCCATCAAAAGAACCGTCAGTGAAGATCCTGATGTCCTGAAAATCACAGGGTCCCCAGTCGCTTCCGAGTTGGCACCTGCCAAGGAGATCATGGACACACTTTGGCAGGCGGATAGTTGGGGGAACCTGGCATGAGAGCCTCCAGCCCCCAAGCTTAGTCCAACAGGCTGACTGATCCAGACTCTGTGGGATGGGGATGGAGACGTGCGAAACATCAATGCTGCGCACACTGGGTAAGAAAGCAGCAAGGCGTAATGGCCGAGGCCCTTCTTGTGGAGTTGTTGGTGCCGGGCCGGCGCCACGCCCCCCGAGTCCGTGCTCTTCCAAAGTCTCGAGGAGGGTACTGGCCAAGAAGAAAGCTTCACCATTGTCCTTCCGGACACATTCCTCAAGGAGAGTAACAAGGCCCTCCACGGCTTCAGCCAGGGGCTGCGCAGCTTTCAATGCTGTACTCCAATAGGGTACAGGAAGCTCAGATGCTTGATGGGAACACCTTGCAAAATTACGGCAGGGAGTCGGCACGGGCCTGGCGTGTGGGGTGGGGCCTTCCCAGTGAGAGGGTGCAGGCTGGCAGGATACCGAAACTCCCGCATGGAGGTCAGTAAAGGGGGCCCCGGTGACACCACGAATTGGGAAGCCAAGCGCGGCTGTAAAGAACAGAGGACGTCTATGCACCTGTCCAGCCTGTCCAAGGGCTAGTGTCAGGAAGAAAAGGCCTCTGTCTGCAATCGCATGGGGCCCATCAAGAGGAGAACAACCCCAGGGCGAAATCCAGCAGGCAGCCAGGCAGAAACCACAAGCTGCGATGAGGGCGCCTGCGTGACTGCTCCTCAAGATTGAGCGATGCGCTGTGCAATGGGCAGCCTGAGTACTGGTGGCATCCGCATACGCCCCGCCATGGTGACCACGCTCACGCCGTGTACCTCCAGTCCCTGCGTCGGCCCCAGAGGAGGCTGAGGCTGTAGAGCCATGCTGTGGGTCACTGGCTGAACCACTAGCGTTATCCTCCCCTGGGGAATGAATATAGTCTGGGGGATCCAAGGGAAAGCGGATCGCGAGCAGGTAATTGGGCTGAAATTCAACCCTGATGACCCATCCATCCTCTACACGCCTGACGTGGTTTCCCTGATCAGCAAAGAAAACCCCACCGAAGACCCGAACGTGATGTCCATGGGGACATCTGACTGCGAGTCTACGGCACAACCTCGTGACATCGAGAAGGCCTCCTGGGGCCTTAGCACAAGATAGTGGAAGAAGGATGGCCCGCAGGTCAAGAACGTAAGGCACGTCCTGGTTGTCAGGCCCCAAGGATTGATGTGCAGGGTCGCACGCGATAAAGACACCTTGCGACCCGATGCCTCGATGTGCATGGTCGTCAATGGCAGGGTTAGAGGGTACCAGGCGGAAGCCCCCTGCGGGGAGGCCGAGCCGGGCGGCGGTGTCTTCGCTACTGGCCGCAAAGTCATCCTGCTCGATGGGAACAGCACTATGAGGTCCGAAAGATAGAACCCAATTGGTGCCATCAACGTCCCCTGGCAGTGTGGGGGTATGGTCCCATGGCTGATCATAACGGAGTATGTGGCCAAGGTCAGGCAAGAGGCCTGCTCTGGCCCCTATGGGGCAAACAGTCACAAGATCACCTTCGGCTGGAAAGAAGGTCATATCTGGTGTGATGGGCCATGGTACGTCCTTGATAAAAATCTCACAACCAGGCTCATCTTCGAGACCTAAGAGGTTGAGGACGTCTTGGCGTCTGCATTCGTGTGGAATGGTGATGGCAAAAATACTGCCTCGCCCCCATTGGTTGTCGATTAATACAGCAACTCCTGTGGTGCGCCAGTGCGGCAAAGCTATAAGGGAAGCATAGACTGTGCTGGGCTGAGGGAAGACGGCTATCAACCTTGGACTGCGCCTATGGTTCGCTGCAACGCGACATTGTGCGACAGTGTTCAAGGCTTCGGCAACACCAACGGGAGCAAACAGAGGAGACACCACCAGTTCGGGCCAATACTCCTCACAAAAAATGAGGAACGGGATAGCTCGGGGCCCGGGTGCGCTGGAACTGGCCTGAGCAGGACCATGATCCGCATCATCACTTGGCTGACCCTCGCCCGGGCTTGGGTCCGCAGGTGGGCGTGTAGACGTACCTCGCCCAGCTGGTGCACTGT